GTCATAAGGCTATGTACCGCATGGAGCACTGGTCATGGGTTGCAGTAGAACCTTCTGGAGCATGTGTCGCGCAGCCTTGGATCGATGAAGATAATCCCTAGGACCCCTAGCCCGGACCGTCTGATGCCGTGATCCGTGATAAGATAAGTCGTGCCAAGATAAGATAAGATCGTCGATGATAAGATGAAAAAGTGGCCGAACTATGACAATGTGACAATCAACAAGAGATAATGTCGAAAAGAGAAGTAAATTCCAAGACTGGAGAATACAACCAAGTAGCTACAGTATTTATACCCAAGTCCAGTCTGAGTCATATCTACAACTAATGAGTCATAAGGCTATGTACCGCATGGAGCACTGGTCATGGGTTGCAGTAGAACCTTCTGGAGCATGTGTCGCGCAGCCTTGGATCGATGAAGATAATCCCTAGGACCCCTAGCCCGGACCGTCTGATGCCGTGATCCGTGATAAGATAAGTCGTGCCAAGATAAGATAAGATCGTCGATGATAAGATGAAAAAGTGGCCGAACTATGACAATGTGACAATCAACAAGAGATAATGTCGAAAAGAGAAGTAAATTCCAAGACTGGAGAATACAACCAAGTAGCTACAGTATTTATACCCAAATCCAGTCTGAGTCATATCTACAACTAATGAGTCATAAGGCTATGTACCGCATGGAGCACTGGTCATGGGTTGTAGTAGAACCTTCCGGAGCATATGTCACGCAGCCTTGAATCGATAAAGATAATCCCTGGAGCCCCTAGCCCGGACCGTCTGATGCCGTGATCCGTGATAAGATAAGTCATGTCAAGATAAGATAAGATTGTCAATGATAAGATGAAAAAGTGGCTGAACTATGACATTACCCCCTCTCTAGGGTCGATGTCCTCATTGACTAGGCCAATGGGCATGAAGACGTTCTTGTAAGGGTCAAAGAGTTGTCGTTGGGGATATGGAAGGTGCTTGTCCCTGGGTTTGTAGCGATGAATGAGATAGTCCCAATGTCCAGCTTCGAGTGTTGGCAGGAGGCAAATGCGTGTGTCTGGGTTGGATTGTTTCCTCTGCCAATCTCTCAGGACTTTTTTCGCGTGGGTAAGGTGACATGATGGTTCCCAGGTGTTCTCGCTATGCGGCCATCCCTTCCATTTGACCAAGTACTGTTTTCCTTGGCCAACATTTTGCTCTTTTACGATTCCTTCAACCTCCCACTCTTCTGCTCCTCCGATCATCTTGGCTACGGGTCTCTTCTCTCGGCAATGGGGGGGTGGTTCATGATAAGGTGTCAACAGTGACTCATTGAACACCGGGTGTCTTCGGTCCGTATCCAGCAAATCCAACTTCCATGCAGCTGCTCCAACCTTCTCCAGTATCTCGTATGGCCCCAATCTCTTGTTGCTCATCTTCTTCGAAGGCCTGTCTGTCTCGATATTGTCCCCTTCTATGTACACCTTCATCCCAACCTTCAACTCTGGAACTTCTTTTCTTTGTTTATCGTAGTATTTTTTCATTTTTTCCTTTGCTTTTTCTAATGCTGCTTTTGCTTTGTCTTGTATTTCTTTGATTCTTTTTACAAATTCCTCTGCCGACTCGTTCCTTGATTCCATCCGCTGCTCCACTCCCTTTCATGGGTGATATCCGTGATTTGCATAGAACGGCAACATTTTGGTAGACATGTTCATTTTGTCATTGTATGCGAACTCCGCCATTCCCAGCCACTCCAACCAATCCGTCTGATGGTAATTGACGTAGATGCGGAGATAGTGCTCAATCTCCTGATTCATGCGTTCCGTTTGCCCATCTGTGATTGGGTGATATGCGGTCCCCGGATTCATTTCCACGCCCAACATCCGATTTGTCTCCTTCATGAAGCCCTTGATGTAATGCAAATCCCTGTCGGTGATAATCTTGCGAGGGATCCCATGGTAGTGGAAGACTTGGTCCCTGGTTAATTGTGCAACTCCTTCACTGCTGATGTCAGTACTAATTGGTTCAACATGGATCATTTTGGTGAAGGTGTCACACCACACATGAATTGCATCATACCTATTACTGACCGGCAGGGGTCCGATTTGATCCATTGAGATGATTTCCCATGGTGCATTTGGAACTGCATGCGGGTGCAGAGTCCCCATTCTTGCTCTCCTGGTCTTGGTCCGTTGGCATGCCTCGCACGTCTGGATGTATTTCCGAATCTGGTTTCCCATCCTTGGCCACCAGTAGTTCCTTTCCACCATCTCCTGCATTTGGTTGATCCCAGCGTGTCCAACCAGAGGTGTGTCATGGTGTAGCCCAATGATCTTGTCTCGCAGCTCCTCGTCCCTTGGTACGTAGGGCTTCCCATGGTACGTGATGAGTCCATCTTCCTTTTTCCATCTAGCAAGTGACTTTTCCAGGGCCGTCTTGATGCTTCCATCAATCGATCGAGTGGCCTTGATCTCATTGATTAGCTGCTGATCCTGCCCCTCAAATGTGACTTCTTGTAATCAGAAGAACTCCGGCTTTAGTAGTGTGACGTCCTTGTTGTCGTTCTTGCCCTGATCGTGATCTGCTCGTCGAGATAAGAGGTCTGCCTTGTGGTTGAGTGCGCTGGGCCGGTATCATAAAGTGAAATCGAACTCCGCCAGCTCCGTGATCCATCGTGCTTGCCATCGATTGAGCTTCTGCGGTTTTTGGAAGTACTTGAGATTTTGATGATTGGTGAAGATCTCAAACGTTTCTGTGGCCCCCAAGAGCAGCTGTCTCCATTCATCGAGCGATAACATGATTGCAAGCATTTCCTTGTCGTAGATCTCGTAATTTCGCTCGGTTTTGGTCAGTGCGTGTGAAATAAATGTGATTGGGCACCAAATGCTGTCTTGGTTTTGGCTCAAAACGGATCCTGTTGCCCCTTCCGAAGCATCAGCTTCCAGACAATATTGGCCAGTGTCATTTGGCAGTGCTAAGACCGCATCCTCCGCGATTCTTTTCTTCAACCCATCAAATGCTGCATGCTCATCTACACCCCATGCCCATCCTGCCTTTCCTGTCAACCGTGTCAATGGCTTGGTGACCTCCGCGTATCCCCGGACAAAGCACCAATAGAAGTTTGTGAATCCGAGGAAAGCTTGGACTTGTTTGACGCTCTTTGGTTCTGGCCATTCCATCATGCCCTTGATCTTGACAGGGTCCATCCGCATTGAATTGTGTCCAATAATTACACCCAAATATTCAATTTCCGTGCGTTCAAACTTGCGCTTTTCAGGTTTCAGGTATAGCTTGTGTTTTTGCAGCAATTCGAGTACTCGTTTCGTGATCCGCCGATGTTCATCCAAGGTTTCTGTGAAGATTAGTATATAGTCAAGATAAACTACCACATGACCCTCGTTGATCAGTTCTCGGAGTATGTTGTTCATCATGTTTTGAAAGGTTGCAGGGGAGTTTGTGAGGCCAAAGAACATGACCAAGGGCTCGTACAGTCTGCGGTTTGTGCAGAACGCAGCCTTCCACTCGTCGCCCTCTTTGATCCGTACATTGTTGTATCCCCACTGGATGTCAAGCTTCATGAAGAACTTGGCGCTGCATAGATTATGGACCAGTTTGGAGATCAGTGGTAGCGGGTATCAATTTTGGATTGTCATCTCATTCAGCTTCCGATAATCTTGGACAGGGCATAGCGAGCCATCTCTTTTCTTGACAAAGAAGAATGCTGATGCCATGGGTGATTTCGATGGCCTGATCCGTCCGCTGGCCAGGTTCTCTTGTAAGAACTCGTCGAGTTTGACCTGTTCATTTTGTGATAACGGGTACACCTTGCAGTCCACTGCCTTGGAACCCGGTTTGAGCTCAATCGCATGGTCCCATGTTTGTTGGTCCAGCAGTGAGTTGAATGATTCCTTGGCAAATACCTTGACGAATTCTCGGTACTGATCCGGAATCTTTCCCTTGGTCATCCTCTCCTTCTCTTTTTCCACTTCTTCTGCGAATTTCTGTACCGGCGTTCCCTTCAGCCGTAGATCCACCTCCTTCCCAAAGTCGACCAACAGGATCGATTCTCCCTCTTCCAGATCCGATGTGCCCGCGTCCAGGTTAATTGCATCCATGTCAATCATTGCTTGGTGCTCCTTGTGACCCCTCATGTGACACCGCTCTGGGCATCAACTGAATCGCATGGTCTGCTCCTGCCAATCCACCTCGGGGTTGTGTTCCGTCAGCCAATCAAGACCGATGAAGATCCGGGCCTTCCCTAAGCACGTCAGAAGGAACGTGCGTGTCTCCACATGAGGACCAATTCTCATCCTTAGGTCAACGTAGTGCATGATCCGACCGCTGATGTTCTTGGTGTTGTCGGCATTACGAGCCACAATGGGTTGCGGAAGCTCTTGGATATCCAGCTTTTCTGCCCATGCGTAGTCAGTATCAATGCAGCAGGTACTGCAGCCACTATCGAGCAGCGCCTTAACTCCGCGCATTTTCCCTGAGTCCAGACCCGTGATCTGGACATATATGTCCATTGAATGCCTCTTTCTTTCGGCCTGGTAACTGCGCAATTCCTGCGCCAATCTGCTGGGCTGGGGGCCCTTCTGTTTCTCGGCCGCCAATTTCCTCTGGACAGCATCTGGCACCCTGGTGCGTTTGGGTGCTTCTGGAACCTTGATTTTGGCAGATTCCTTAGGCGCTTCCTCCTTTTCCAAGGATTGAGCCTCCGGAGCGATGCTCCCCTTTTTGGTCTTTGTTGACGTGGTTCCTTCTCCACAAGCCATAAATATGTAGGAGTCCAAAATTAATTTTTCTGCAGCCTTCTGATCCTTTTTACTCTGTAAATACTCTCTATTTAAAGCTATTTTTCTTTGGCGTTCTTTTTCCATATCGGCAATGAGAAAATCATGAATATTGGTACATAGTGAGTCTGAGATTGTGTACGTATGTGCAGAATTGTTCATGTCTTTAATTGAAACAAGTATAGAAAATTGTCCATAGTCCGGATGCTCCACCTCCTTGGCTAGAGGAGTGGAGCGCTTCAAAAACCCTTCTTGCGCAGCTTCTCGGCGATCTCCTTGAGGAACTCGTTGTCCTTGTCCCCATTCTCGATCTCTTCCAGCATCATGGCCCGATTGAAGAATGTGTGCTTCTTCCTTGGCTCCAGACAGTTCCGCGTGATGTGCCCAGGCTGCTGACAGTTGTAGCAGATGATATTGCGGCCGCAGGTGTGGGTGCAATCAATGTCCATTGGAACCGGTTTGTTGGCAGCGGGTTGGGCCGGTGTGGGTGCAGGCATTGTTGGCGCAGCCTGTGGGCAGAACTGAGGAGGTGGTCGTGGCGTGGGATGTCTGTAAGATGCCTTGCGTAGCTGGTCGCGTAGAGCATTGGCTTCGATGTTGATGCACCAGGCTTTGAACGCCCCATAGGCCTTGGGCAGGGGGACACCAGTGTTGTAGAGACGGCTGGCAATCTCGCTACTGAGTCCGCGCTCCAGGAACTTGATGAGGATATTGTCTTGGTCCCCCTTCTTGTATTCGCCTTTGTTGTCGGTGGTGTCGACCACATTGTATCCCGCATCCACAGCCAACATCTCAAAGTTGGAGATGTAGTCCGCGAAGGACCATTTGTTTTGGCGCAGGGCCATGAGTCGAGCAGTGGCGACTTGTTCTGCATTGGAGTCCCCAAAGGCCCTCTAAAGCTTCTTGTCATAATTCGACCACTTTTTATCTTATCTTCGACGATCTCATCTTATCTTGGCACAACTTATCTTATCACGGATCACGGCATCAGACGGTCCGGGCTAGGGGTTCCAGGGGTTATCCTTATCGATTCAAGGCTGCGCGACATATGCTCCGGAAGGTTCTACTACAACCCATGACCAGTGCTCCATGCGGTACATAGCCCTATGACTGATTAGTTGTAGATATGACTCAGACTGGATTTGGGTATAAATACTGTAGCTACTTGGTTGTATTCTCCAGTCTTCAAATTCACTTCTCTTTTCGACTTTATTTTTGGGTTGATTGTCACACTTCTCCAGAAAATTCTTTGATGTGACCCCTGTCTTCAGTCCCTGGAAGCCATCAAAGTTGTGCTGCTTCCAGTTCATCGCCCATCTTGAGGCAGCACAGCTTGTGCTGGTCTTGTTACGGAGGTAGGAGAGGACAAAGAGGATCTTGGTCTCATCCTGCGAGAACTCTGATTGGTAGGCACCAATGTAGGTGGTGCACGAATCTACAAAGCCCAAATATTTGGACTTGTCCCCATCAAAGTAGGGAGGGTTGGCGGCGAGGGTGATGCGGTGGTGTCCTGACATGGTAGGTGGGGGTGAGAGTGGTTGTTCGGAGGGCAACTCGTGAAGGTCAGGGATCTTGTCTTCAGGCAGCGGGAGGGAAAGATAGGGATTGGAGGGCCCGGGTTTGTTTTGATGCGCCAGATCGGGCAACGATGGTATGATGGGGGGAGGGGACGGACTCCCAGACAACGGTGGGAATTGGTACGAAATGGTGAATTTGTGTGCTGTACAAGCACTCGAGGAAAGGTTCTTTTTCTAGCAAAAAGATCCCGGGCCTAGCTCTTCATGTGCCCAATGATCCCGAGGTGCGTTTTCCTGAAGGTCTCCGCAGCACTCCTTGTAGCTACCGTAAGGCTTGGGTTGGGCTCAACGTTACCCATGGCCTGGTGCTGTTTGCTCGATATGAACCCTTCACTGCGATTGCAGCGAGCGACTAGATGATTCGATAAAAGGGTGAGTGGGGTGATAACGGTGAAGAGGATATAGCGGGTGTAGCGGTGCAGGATGCAGGGTAGGAGGTAAGAGGTACGAAGGTATGAGGGGAGTCTTGGAATTATGTGACAATCAACAAGAGATAATGTTGAAAAGAGAAGTGAATTCCAAGACTGGAGAATACAACCAAGTAGCTACAGTATTTATACCCAAATCCAGTCTGAGTCATATCTACAACTAATGAGTCATAAGGCTATGTACTGCATAGAGCACTGGTCATGGGTTATAGTAGAACCTTCTGGAGCATATGTCACGCAGCCTTGAATTGATAAAGATAACCCCTGGAACCCCTAGCCTGGACTGTCTGATGCCGTGATCCGTGATAAGATAAGTCATGTCAAGATAAGATAAGATTGTCGATGATAAGATGAAAAAGTGGCCGAACTATGACACAATACTCCCAATAGATGCCAGACGCATTGCCACATCTGGGACATAGAGCGCATCACAAAGAACAAGAACCTCTCCGCTTGTGTGTTGCACATGAATATCACCCCTCCCTACAGCTTCAATGAAGTTCCCATCAACACCAAAGATCTTCTTTGGTTTGATAGGCTCGAAATTGCAAAAGTCTCAATGTTCTGGCAAGATGTGAGCTGTAGCCCCAAAGTCGGCAGCATAAGAGTCTTGGGCCCTGGTGAGGAAGATGTGCTCAATATTGTTAGGGATATCCTTGGCAACAACCATGGAGAATGTCGAGAATGCAGTAGAAGATGAGTGGGAATGATTCTGATGATATGTAGCGTAAATCTTCTCAAGCTTGGCATTGGAGGTATCATCAGGGTTGTCACGGTCAGGGCCAGAGGTGGTGGCTGGAACAAGCGCTGTCACAGCAATGTTGCTGTTCCCCTCAACGACTGTGAAGTACACGAGCTTCCCATTGGCTCCCTGCAGGGCCAACTGTTTACCACCTGGCTTTGCTCCAGATTTCACTTCTGTCTTCTTGCCTGCGCGCCTCACCTCTCATCTCTTCAACACCTCATCCTGATGGCCTTCCATTGCACCACCCTCAGCCCAGCAGTCCTCTGTGCAATGGTATCCCCTGCACGTGCCACAAAGCCTGCCTGACAATGATAGCTTCATAGGTATTGCAGTCTTTGCTGTGACCTGTGCACGCGCTACGTTTGCACGCTCCTCCTCCTCAGCCTGCTTCTTCAGCTCCTTCTTGAGCCAAATCTTTTCCTTCTCCAACATGGCCACAATGTTGGCAGGGGTAGCTGTACTGTCGTCCTTGTACTTGACGCAAATGTGGCAGAGTGCATTGTCACTCAGTGCGCTGAGAAGGATTGCGAGAGCCAGCTTATCTGCAGTGAGGGCACCAATCTCAAAAATCTGTTTGCAGGCGTTGCAAATAGAGGATGCCGCCTCAAGCATCTTTGGGTCATGATGGATTCTGACCCTGAGCATGTTGTCAAGGAGAGATGTCTGTGTCTTTTGGATTCTCTCTTGCCGGGACTCTGACGTCAGGCCTCGAGGTTGCCCTTACACTCACTGCAAAGCCCCAATGTGAATTTTCTACTGCAACCAAGATCTCTGATCACTCTGTACTGCATCCCTCTTCTTCTGGATGGATCTAGTTGTTTTCTGATTTTTCTCCCTCTCTGCTCTAAGGTTCAAGGTTCAAACCAGGTTTGAACCTGTACTGGACTGGAAGAAGCTGAACCACAGGTCTGGTTCACCCGCTTTGGCCAAACCTGAACCAGACCTCAGGTTCAGTTCAAGGTTCAGAAAATTTGGGCAAAAACCAGACCAAATTGAACCGCAGCAACACTAGGAAACATGTTATACAACAAGAGGAACTTTTTGATGGGAAATATGCCAGCCCAAGATCATGCTGCCTACAGGATAGATATTGAAATTCTGCTTGCAGCGAAAGCATCCTAAGGCTCTTCTGGAACACTCTATGTAGGTAGATTCCTTTTTTTCTTGTGGCCACTGTGATTCTCCATTGCCATTTGGTCACATGTTGTGATTGTGTGATGCTCAGTCACCCATGCAGAGACCAAATGCCGCATACCTTACTGTATGATATTACCCCGTGGGCCAAAGCAGGATTTGGGCCACTGGCCTATTACTGTACACCCCAGTATACATTGGGGAGTTTGCTCATTCACAAATCAATATAGTACCCTAGTGGTAGTCCCATACCAAGTTTCAAGTTGAATGGCCTTTGTTTCCTCTTGGGCTGTTGCTCCGATCACTGTCTCCCACAGCTGTCACGTCAAATCCTTAACATTCCAGAGCCACTGTCAGATGATTTGACGTTGGGTTCTCTCATTCCTTCCTCTAACGTCAACTGTGTAGCACCATTCAAAATGGACAACTTTCCTCTTTCATGCGCCACACCACTCATACTGATTGAACTGAGCTATATGGTGCTATGCTCAAGGAATCTGGGTCAACCCCAGGTGCACGCGTGGAAAAGATGGTGGTTTGGAGGTCTTGTTGTGGGAGAATGGAGTCCATGGTGGTCTCCAAACTTGAGGTGTGGTTTTAGCATGGTTATGCGATGTATATGCAAGGTTTGTCCTATTTTACACAATTTTATTGGTCCTTGTGGACAATGCGTTGTCTTAAACAGGTGGTTGGCTGTGCATCCACAAGTCAAATCTCGGGTTTGCGACAACGGTCTCATCCAACCTCATATGGGTGTTCAAGGCATACCTTACACCCTCCTAGACTATTCCACAAGTGCACTTGCCGGTCTATGCCCCTGGTCTGCTACAGCACCCAGTGCGATCTGACTGCTTTGGCCCATTTTCGAACTTGCACCCTGCCCCCACTAGCAGTACTCTTCAATGCTTCTACATTTTGAGTAGCATCAATACAATGTATTTTGACATCCCATGGATGCATAAGACTTTCCTCATTATATATTCACCTGCACAAGGCAGCAGCATTGAAGATGCCGAAGACAACTGGGATCCATTTGCCGGTGACAACTCAGAGTCGGAACATTCCAATGCATTGTTAGATAGTTAAACCTTGTCTACCAATGCCGCAGATGTCGTTGCTGAGGAACGCAAGATGGGAATTCTTGAAGGAGAACCCAAAACTGTCCGAGTCATTGATTAAGTGGACAGTCACTGGTGGCGGAATGGCAATGTTGAGTTCATGTTTATCTGGGGCAATGATGAGATCACCTGGGAGCAGCTCAAGATCATTGACAATTGCCAGGCACTCGAAGAATACCTCTAATATTGCTCTCAAACTGACCCACTGCAGTTGTCCAAGCAAAATTCAGTCATTGAGAAAGGTCTTAGGGCAACAAACAAGTAGTTAGAGGCTCAAACAGTGTAATTACTTCTCATAGCATCCATAGCAATCGATTCCGTACCTCAGAAAGCCTGGGATCAGCAGATGGCCCGGATCACTGTACTTTCCCAATTTGGACCTTTGCACAAAAAATATTCATGGAGCTGAACAGACCGCCGCGTAAAATATTTTGGGGCCTGAATCTCTTAGATAGGATCCTTGCCCATGAATCGATGCCCTTATACTGCCCTCAGAAGGCTGGATTAGTAAGCTACAGACCTGATACCTTAAGGTGGCCCGATACCCGATGTTATATAGTACCTGTCAATAGGGTCGTTCACACCCTCTGATTTTGACTCAATTTTGACTCAATTTTGATTCTGATTTCGTTTCAGATTTTGATGTAGTCACATCAGAGTAATGCTGTCCAGCATCATGCTGGACATATCAATTGATGCTGCAAAACATGTGAGCTGGATTGACACGCTCTCGCTCTTTTGCACTACACGCACTATTGTCCTTCATGTTCACACCAGCGATCGAAATGCTCCAAAAGCGACTAGCTAAAGTCAAATAAAAGAAAGAAAAGAAGAAAACCAATAGCAAGATGACCAAAAAAGCTGTTACAGCACCAGCCCTATCTGATCTATGTTATCTCATCACTGCATTCAAGGGCCTCATAGCCACAGCCCTGGTTAACCGAGGCTAGTTACCTGATAGGCAGCGTAGCCAAACCTACACAAAGGTAGCTACACTGCTTTGGCTAACCGAGGATAGAATTTGGATAGGTCGCCTAGCCACCCCCAGGCTTTGTATTGCTGACTTTGGCTAGACAACTCGGCCAAACATGACCACACGTAGCACATGTCATAGCAGGACCTGCAAAATTCCCGCCAAATGTTAGCCCCAAAATCGGCCGTCCGGCCCGATATTTGTCCAACGCACATCGGGCCTAAGCCCCGGATTTTTGTCCAACCTGTACATGACCTCCAAAAAATCGTTTTTTTTTGTATGTACATGCCTATGGAATTGAAAATCTGAGCTCTACAAGCATTTTAAGCGCTATCCAGCCTATTCATCCTCCCCTTCATCGCGAGCACGTTTATTGAAGTTTCTGGGAGGATTTTCGCAACTTCAGCTGGCGGCGGCGTTAAAGCTCGATTCTTTCCTTATATAACTTCCCAAGAAATGTTGTTGTCCCGCTCTTTTGCCCAATCCGTACACTTGCATCGAAGGGTACATCATCTTTGATAGTGATGACAGTCACCATTCGAGAGGACCGGCACTTGAGGGTGCGCTCCCGACAATGCTGAGGACGACTCGGGGGTAATATATATGAGAGAAGCGATTGGTGAATAATTTTCGAGCGAATTTACACGAACTACTCCAAATATGGTCCGGAATTGAATGAGTGTCTCGATTGAAGAAGCACTAATCAACAAAAATTGATCTATTTGGGGTAAATCGGGGTCAGACCAGACCGGACTGGGGCGAATTTTTGTCCAACCCCGTGACCTAAGTATCGCCGAATGGAGCCGCAGTTTTTGTCCAACACCCGACTAATTTGGGCTAACATTTTCGACCCCTCCCCACCAAAAATTGTCCAACAGGGGGGCTAACATTTGGCGGGAATTTCGCAGGTCCTGTCATAGCCACAGGTAGCTTAGACGTCGGCTATATTCGGCTATCAAGACCGTGGCTATGCGGGCTTTGAATGCAGTGCATCTCTACACGTGCGGATCCTATCACTGATCTCGTCTGATGCTCGTGGTCGGCCGTTGTCACGCTAGCTCGAAATCTGAATCGAAATCACCTCGAAATCAGGTCGAAATCGGGCACTGTGAAAGACCCAAGTACACTTCCCACGGTCCTTGCCAATAATCACTTCGTAGCTCACTCACTCGAAATGAACAACATCGATTATGCATATCACGCTGGTCTTCGCCATAGGTGGTCCTCAGTGATGGAATCCAGCGTCCGTCTACAGCAGGCTTACTTGTCCGTGGCCTCTGGGACTCCGCTTCAAGACCCGAATTTCGCAAGGCTCAGTGGCGGTGGTTTTGCGCTCTGATGTCAAATCACAGCAGAACAGCGTCGGTATTGCATCTGCCACGGCGGCTGTGACTCATCGCTGCTTTCAGCGCTCGCTCCCCGGGCAGCGTCGTCGACGGTGATACGATTCGGTAGCCGTATTAGGTATTAAAGGGTGTCTTTCAGTGCGCTGGTGGTATCAAGTACGGTAGATGATATTTCCGTCGATTACACGCCTGCGGCAGCCTTGAGCGCCGCAAAGTTGGGTGTCCCGAGACCCGTGACGGGGTCCCATCCAGCCAAGGCAGCTAAAAGTAGATCATCAGAATCCACGGATACCCCTGTCAAACGACGACGGAGAGAAAACTCACGGAACCCATTCGAGTTGCACCCGACGTTGTTTCCGGTGGTGATGTCGTTCAACGCGGCCGCATTTTTGTACAGGAACGGGTTGAGGAATCCGAGCGGGGGCTTGCCTGCGGCGGCGAGCTGGTCGTTGATAAGGCCGACGACGCTGGCGAAGATGGGCGACGAGCACGAGGTCCCGTCGACGGGCTGGACCTGGCCACTCGAAACGATGGCAACCCGCTCGCCCTGGGCGGAGATGTCCGGGTAGGCACGTCCGGTCGCCTTGAAGAGCCCGGCGTTCTTCTTCCCAAGCTGGCCCAGGTACTTGGACACGGCGGCCTTCTGGTACGCCGGCGCAGCGAATACGTTCGAGAATCCGCCGCTGGAGAAGGTCGACGCTGTCTCGGGAGCGATGCCGCCGACGGATCCGACGGCCGTGATACTGCATCTGTGTCAGCAGCGGCAAGGAGTGGACACCCAGAATGAGATCGTACAAGGGGCATCCGGCAGGGAACGTCGGCTGGAATGTCGTGCAGGTGTTGGTCACGCGGCTGCCCGAGACGCCACCGTCACCACTGGCGAACAGGATCGACGTGCCGCGAGCACCGAGAGCCGTGTATGCGCTGCATAGTTTGCTGGTCCCATGCATCAGTCGCACTGTCACAAAGAATACACAAGGGCGCGGCTCACGTGGCCAGGGCCGCGGGGATGTCGGCTTCGTTGTCACCGTACGACGTGGTCAGCACTTGAGGAACCTTGGTCTCTGCGTTCAAGAAGTTGACGATGTCGAGGAATCCACCAAGCACGCCGTCCTGGTTGTTCTGGCCGACAGAGACAAATGTGACCGGGACACCTGTCGCCACACCAACAGTGTATTGAATATCCAAGTTCTGTTCGCCACATGTCAGCCATAGTTGCATAGTCTGAAATGCCTCTGCAACGCACAGCTTCCACACCCGCATTCTGAGCACCCTGCAAGTTCTGGCCGCCGTCCAACGTCTGCAGCGCGAATGTTGTCTTGGCCGACACGTCAGGCCGGGCCTGCTGCAAGAAGCTGGTCAGATCCGAAGTCTGCGCGAACTGGCCAATGAATCCTGCACTTGATAAGCACACCAAACATCCCACACCAAGAGAACACACGAACCGGACACCGCAATCGAGTTCGACTTTTGGGTAGCTGGCGTCTGCGGCACACCATACAACTGAGAGATACACGCGGGGCTGATGCCATTCGCGCAACGCGGGTTGACCGCTGCGCGGCGACTCGAGAAGCTCGGCTTGGCTCCCAGGATCGCGCGGCTGGCGAGTGTGCCGTTGGTTGGGCCTGGCACGGACAAGATCGGGCCGGCGTTGGCCGGGTTGTTGAACGAGTACGTCGGGTGCACGTGCGCGATGAAGGGCGCGACGTGTGCGGGGAGTGTGTACGCGAGCGTGCGCGCGTACGTCGCGTTCGAGTCCGTGTGCAGGAACGTCTGGTAGTCCGCCGAGAGCAGCGTGTTCGCCTGCGAAATCGGGACCGTCATCGCGATCCAGTCGCCAGCGCCCTCCGAGACGAAGCCTTGCACGTTGTTCTTCGTCAGCCACGATTTCACGGTCGTCAAGGCCTCGCTTGTCGGGGCCAGGAAGGCGTTCACCTGCGTGCGATCGATCCATCAGAAAACACTCGGGAGCAGAGAGAGCTACGCGACACACGCACCTGATCTTTGGTCAGATGCTGGCCGTAGTTCGGGCTCGACGGATCGGACACATCGAGCAGCGTCTGCTCCAAGCCCGACGTGTTCGACGATACGAGCGCAATGCGCAGCTTGATTGACTGCGACGACGGAGCAGCACCCAGACTCGCAAATCCGACCGGCACACCCTCGCTACGCGCACGGACTTCTACGGCGGCACGAGGCGATGGCTTGGAAAACAGGGGGAAACCGGCGACCAGCGACAGATAGAGAGGGAGAGAGAGCCCGTAAATGAAAGCAGAGGCGACCATAGCGCGCTACTGAACCTGGAGAGAAAAAGAATGTGAAAGAGAAAACCCAAGAACCGGTCGAGACAACGGGGTCCAGTTCGCCCCTTGGTTGCTTTATAGACTTCCCATCGCCTTGGCGGCCGGCAGTGTGGCCCACCCAAAGGAAAAGGATGTTTGTGATGATGAACTGTCTGTCGGACATCCCATCACAACCAAGATAACTCTGGTGGCGATTGGCTCTTTGTTAGCAACGCGTGAAAGAGTCGATCCTGCGCCGCCCAGACACACTAGGGCGCGATGGTCCAATGGCAGCACGGTGAGTGCTCAAGCACTGAAGGGTCGGGAATATATGTATGCAGAATGAAACCAGGGGCCAGGGATCACCGGAACTGCCCCACAGTCGGAAAATCATCTCCTTCGGGAGCGAGAGAAGGCTCGACCCCGTCACCATGGTGGCGCAAGCTACCGCGTAGCGTGATGGTCTGGGAAAGAACTCCGTGACGCCATCCAGTGACCTGTAATCTTGACGTCACCTGATTCGTCCGCAAGAAAGTTGCTCCTTGTCTTTATGAAGCATTGAATTTCCTGAAGCTTAAAGCTTGAAGGTCAACGGACGTAGGATGAAGGGACATAAATTCGAAGATAACTACATACTCTCAGAATAAAGCCATGACATATGCAACCTTGCTGGGCCTTCTACTTGAAAGCCGACAGCAAGGCCGAAGGATCCCCGGGACTAAGTATCACATTCCGGGATTACCAATTGCGTGTGTGATGCGTGATCAAGGCTTCATAATGCATTGCGCTCGTGATCGCAATTTGTCGCGCAGCTGAAGCCTTCACCTGAAAAAGTCGCTGCCCCTGTATGCTTTAGCTTCCCCACGCAAGCTGCTTTCACAATCGCTGACCAGATCAAGCTTGCCTTCTATGTTCCGCATTGTCCTCATCGCTGTCTTAGACCGATCTATGTCTTTTTATAAATTACTGGTTCCACTTATCCGTCATATTATTATCAAGTCAGGCCTTACCAACAGCGCTGCCTGTAATCCTCTTCATCTTGCAGTCGCTTGCTCTGTGATCCATTAGTTCAAGGCTCTCCCTTCCGCCGAAAACATGTTTCCGGTTTCCGATAAGGAGTTCGATTTCGATGTGTTTGTTGGCACAGTCTCTGACCAGTTTGCCTTCACGGCCTTCTACTTCTTATGCTTGTGATGCACACTGACGGGTCCGCTCGAGCGGATCCGAGAACGCTGATGCAGGAAGACATGACGATGAGGTCATTCAGCTAGTAAGCCACGTGATCGTGATCGCATACATCTCTGAACGAAACGCACAGATCTGAAGCAACGAGGGAACGTTCGGTCGATCGCTCGAGAGAAAACATGTACTACAATGGATCTCAGCATTGACAGAGTATCGAAGATCGTCCGATTGTCATGTTCCAGGTCATCAGCATTGTACAAGGCATCACCATCAGGCCAGTGACCCTGGTGAGAGAGAGAATGTCTAATGGCGACGCACGCTATTGCTGTAACTACGATTCAGACACGCTGTGAATACGATGGCCAAGATGTCTGTCCGATGGTGGTGGCAGCTGGGTGTCGTGGGGCTTCCATTCCGAGTATCTGTTCGGCGCCACATCGGTCGTCGCTCCAGGGTCACCTCGCGCATCTTTGAGGGGGATAGCGGGGTCGGCTGTGTCGGCTGTGTCGCAGCCGATGTATAGGCGTAGGCATAGGTATAGATTTTCGCGGTATCATGAGATATATTTGCGGCTCCGGTGCGTCAACCGAGTCCATCGGCAAAGTGGTTGCTGGGCGACCTTGCAGGGTTCCTGGACGACCACTCTGGTCAGATGGGCGATATAAGGATACGTGGCAACCGAATCGCGACTCGAGTGGGAGGAACTCGATTGCTCGCAGTTTGGTCGCTGCTCAACCCAACTCAACATTTCTCAGTATCTCCTCAATCACTGTAGTGTATATTTCAAGACACATCCAGGAGAAATACATCATACAAGTTTAGAAGGAGGGATATGCTCGACTTATTACCAGCGAAAAAGGGGATAGCTGGGTTTCAGAATTGCACATGTTCAAGTGTTAAGCGCACGGCTTTAGCTGCTCAAAAGACTTCGCCGGACTCTTGGATTTGAGACACGATCTCACAATCAGCGATGGCGAGTCAACGGTAACATTCCCGGACCACGGCGGAGACGATGCGTCCGACAGTGGTCCGAAGATATCAATGATAGCACCGTACATCACGTCCGGCGGAATCGATTAAAGACCTGAAAGAAATGTGGGAGGGAACCGATACCTTCCCGAAAAATCATCCTCAGAGCATGAGTACTTCGCCTAATCCCGGTTCGGTGGATGTTGGCGGCACCAGGATGATCGACTCGAATCAGAGTAGTCTCTGAGGAAAGAATCAAGTGGAAGAGGCAGACCTGGGCCTCAGCAAGGTAAGACAGCTTTATTCTACTATGAATGGACATCAAGGCACGAACATGATCAGCGGCCAGCTTTGCAGACGTGCCTGCTTTAGACGGATGTCAAATTCCCTAGATCGCGTCGGCGTGCGTGGACCTGTGCCCAAAATATGTCCGAGCGTAAATCATCAAGGATCACCTAAGACGAAGAGAGACACGTCATCCAACTCGCTGATTTGAGTGAGTGAAATATGAAGCGGTGAAGTGCAAGTTGTAAATGGACCGTGGGAAGTGTCATTGACATTGACAGGTATGGGTCCGCGGAATGATCTTCGAAATTCTTCCTACAGCCACCTCGAGCTCTCCTGGTGTTCTCAGATGTTCTCCTGCGTAACAGGGCAGCAAATCTCTATACAGCTCTCATGTGACTGGGAGCTATCGAGCTCCCGCTGAGTCATCCTGAGTTCTAGTCGTGGTTTCAATGAACACCCAACCAGTCAAATGCCTCCTACTCCACAAGTACGCAGATCAAGTAGTCCCAAGACACAGCAGACATTCTCGAAAAGACCACTGCGAAACGGCAAGAATGATACTCATGTCATCATCTACCATTGCTAATGGTGTCTCAGTTGCGGTCCGCTGGCGGATGCAAAATGTCTTACCCTGGGGCCCCTATCTCCCAATTTCTGCATATAAGGCGGGCAAAGGCGACTGAGAGCGCCTATCCATTGCTTTAACTGTTTAACACAAACCACCACTACCCACCATCTACTCTGCATCAGTGAGTCCTTCTCTCGCTCTCTGAATCCATCGTTCTCATCTGCTTCGAGCATTACCATGTCCCACACTACCACTTATGATCTCCCCGAGTCTATTGCTCCGTCCTCCTCGACCTCGAGTGTCTCATCCGACTGCTTGTCGAGCAGCACAAGCACCCTTCGAGACCGTCGAGGAGTGTCGCTGTGGATCTCGTTCTCCGCCGTCTTCCCGGTCGCTCCCAAACCCAAGGGAGCGCTCGGCCCGACCGTGAACAACATCCCCCGGCGGCGGAAGCGCAGTAGCGTCGTGTCCATCGACTCGCGGCCCGTGTCTGAGGACTCATCATCACTTGACCGGGTCGGCTACTTTGCGTGAGGGGTCGGGTCGCAAGAGAGACGGAGATGGAGTTGTATGCAGTCGTGTGATTGGAAAAGGTATACTTCTATCTTGCCGTCATATCTTCGCATTCTGACGTTCCTCTACAGCCAACCGCGACATCAGACCAATTGTCATCCATCCACTTCCCTCTCCGAGTCCCGCTCGGCTTGCCAGCCCAATCACTTATATTCTGAAGCGGTGTCGCAAGGGATTCTGTGTCAACAGTGCACTTGCGCGGCATGCCGTCATTGCCGTGACATGACCTTCGCAGTGTTACGCATCCAATAGCTTACTTCGTGTTTGATATGCAAAATACTCGTTCCCATGCTATAGGACCGAAATATTATGAGTCGAGTAGTCGAGATTTCCTATCCTATTTTGAGTGACAGTGTTTCGTGTGAAAGAAAGTCGCCAGTCAATCTTCCGTGTCGGAGTCGAACCCGCGGCTCGGAATTGATCGGCTCTTGCCCCTGACTCACCAAGTTACCTGTCTCTAATCTCATCTCCACATTACTCCGCATTGGGTTTGGCCCAACCTACTCAGAATTACTCGCACATCTCCTTGAAGTGCCATGCCTAAAGCTAGCAAGTCTTCTCTCAAACAATCCACCATCTCTTTCGGAGCATCTAAGCGCACCGCCTCGAACAACAGCAAGAGCGGAAAACCGAGCCGCTCCAGCTTCGCACCTCCTGTTCCCCCGAGAGACGAAATCGAGATCTCCGACGACGAAAATGATACAGTATTGGATGTGATAGAGAAGATTGACTCGGAGGAGGGAGAGATGCCGGCACGACGCAGCACACGCAAGGCTGTCGCTACGCCCAAGAAGAAGGTCATTACGGTGACTCGGCCGAAGTCCGACCGCAAGGCGGCGGGCCCGTTCGGACCGTTGTTCAGTGCTGCGAGGCGGGCCAGGACTGGACAGAACCTCAGTGCGTTCTGTGCACGCATACACTCTGACACTATGACTGACTCGATGTTGCAGTTCATTGTCAAGGGCAGGACGACTTGCATGATGTGCTGAGAGTCTTCGACTTGTGGGGAATCCTTCATACTCAATGCCCTGTTCGATCTGAGCTCATTCCGTAGAACCTATGAATTCGGACCCTGCATCGGAGTCACGCGGCTTGAGCGCTGGGAACGAGCTCAAGCCTTGGGATTGAATCCGCCTCCCCAGGTTCGGGATTCGATTGCAATTTCCATGTCTTCCACGCTTAATTCACCTTCGCTAGATTAAGGATATGCTACTGTCATCCGAAGGCCAGGATGACGGTCACCAGCACTGCGTTTTCACCGGCCAGGTCTAAATTGAGACGGTGTTTGTGTTTTTGTGAGCAACTTTGCACATCGCTGTGTAGGTCATTGAAATCTCGGTCAGCTAACAGTGTACTCTTTTTGTATTGCATCTTGCCCCTGTTGCTCTGCAGACCCTGCGACCGTCATCGATCACCCGGGACCCCTGCTTTCTTACCTGCCGCGAACCTCTTGCACCTACTGATTGACAAGATACATGTATATAGTCAGCACTAGTCTCAAAGCATTTGCTATATATAATCATTTCCGCGGGCGTTAGTCAGTTAGTCGTGACCGTCGTGGGTGAGCGTGGGTGCAACATGACATAAATAGCTTGTGAACGGGCATGACGGATCGGCAAAGTCTGCTTTGCTTCTTCTATTGCCCAATGCGGCAGCAGGTTCTCATGCATTTCCACCCCTACAAAACTCGCCTGATAATCGCCATGCTTACTTTTCATTCCCATCCCTCATGTCTCTGCGTGAAACTCAAGTCGACGTTTTGGTCATCGGGGCCGGGCCTGCGGGTGGGTTCCTCAGGGTGGTTTGGTGCTGTATTTACAGAATACAGGCCTGATGTGCGCGAACGCGCTGGCCAAGGCTGGCGTCAATGTGCGGATCATCGACCAACGGTGTGTATGTTAGCTGGGGACAAGCTCGAGGACGTCTATCTCATGAGGCACAGACCGAGCAAAGTTGCAGCCGGACAAGCAGATGGGATTCAGGTATAAGAGCCGATCGCCGCTCCGAATCAAAAAGCTCATTGTCGCAGCCGCGGACGATCGAGGTGTTCCAGAGCTATGGGCTGGCTGAGCGGCTGTTGAAGGAGGGCAATCAAATGCACGTCGCCGCGTTCTACGATCCGAGTTGTGAGCACGGTGGTATTCAGGCAAGTGCAAGACTCGCTGCGCGCAGCCGTTGGGCTAAAATTCTATTCTACGTCTAGTTGACCGCCCGCGTCCCAGACGTGACTGCTCCGACGGCGCGCTATCCGTTCGAAGTGACACTGCATCAGGGCGCCATCGAGAACATCTTCCTAGACTCGATGCGTGAGCTGGGTGTCCAGGTCGGCCGGCCCATCGTGCCAACAGAGCTGCTTGTGGATTCGGAGAAGGCCGGAGATCCCTCCGCCCATGCAGTCCGGGTGTGTGCAGGATTATCATCTGCCAAGGAGAGATTATGAATGTCCGACCAGGTCGCGCTGAAGCATCTTGATGACGGCCAAGAAGAGCTTGTCCATGCGCGGTTTGTTGTGGGAGCAGATGGTGCACTTGCTTGATTATCTTATCTTCGGTGATCTGATCTTATCACCAGGTGCGCACTCGTGGGTGCGCAAGACATTTGGCATCGCCATGGAAGGCTCACAGAGCGATTTTGTCTGGGGTGTCGGTGCGTCAATAATTCCACGACGTAGCTTCACGACATCTGAATTTCTCAGTGGACATGGTGCCCCGAACCAATTTCCCCGACATCAGGAACCGATGTGCCATTCATTCTAAGAATGGCTCGTGCATGATCATCCCTCGGGAAGGTGATAAAGTCCGGCTGTATATCCAATTGGAGGGCAAGGACGCAGTTGACGCCACGAGTGGCAGAGTCGATCGAAGCAGGATTGGCCCACACCAGTTGATGGAAGCGAGTCACCTGGAGATTCGCCTAGGCACTCTCGGATCCTAACTGATTCTTAAGGTTGCAAGCAAATCTTTCGCTCCGTTCTATTTCGAAACTCCGGATGAATTCGAATGGTGGACGATCTATATCAGTATGTGCCCCTTCCTCCACATCTACTGATACAGAGCTTATGACTAAATGCGTTAGTCGGTCAACGTATCGCGAGCAAGTTTTCGGTTGAGGATCGGGTTTTCATATCCGGTGATGCCTGCCACACTCACTCCCCAAAAGCAGGTGAGTGCAGGAAACACGGTCTGCCTAGCACTTGCACTGACGGTCATACACTAAGGCCAAGGCATGAACGCGAGCATGAATGACACGCACAATCTCGGTCCGTTTTGATCTATTACCCGATGCAACTCAGTGCTCACCAGCACGACAGCTTGGAAGCTTGTCTACGTCCTCCGCGGCTGGGCCGGTTTGTCCCTGTTGAAGACAGTACGCACTCCCATCTCCATCTCCGTGCTTCGCCCTCATGATCCCAGTACGAATTCGAAAGAAGATCATACGCTCAGGACCTCATCAATTTCGACATCCAATTTGCTCAGCTCTTCTCTGGCAAGCCGCGCACGGAGGAAAACCAAGACGGTGTCTCCCACGAAGAATTTCTCAAGATTTTCCAGAAATTTGGCGGATTTACGAGTGGTATCGGAATTCATTACGGCGGATCGACGATTGTGGACGTTACCAGACAGGAATGTGCTAAGAACGTCGTGGTTGGCCAACGTATGCCTCCGCAGATGTTGCTTCGAGCAGCGGATTCCAGACCAGTACAGCTGCAGGACATGCTGCCGTCCGACACTCTATTCAAGACCATAGTATTCGGGGGAGACGGAGAACTTTTAGACAAGGTCGCCCCCCAACTTGAAGCTCTCTTTAATCGATACCGCGAGAGAGTCGACATGATGTCAATTCTATCGTCTTCCGCACCCGCTGGGTTTACATTCATGGATCTGCCCGCTGTTCTCAGACCCCATTGGACCAAGTGCGTGCTCATCTGTAGCTCGAGACATCTAGCCGACTGGACACAGGGTCTTCATCGACAGGCCGGACTTGCGGGGCACGCAGGGCGGCACTGTCTACTCCGAATTTGGCATAGATCCCATCGCGGGGGCTATTGTTTGTGTTCGACCGGACGGTTACGTGGGCTTGGTCGCTCCGCTGCAAGACGCGGTTGCTCTGGAAAGCTTTTTTGGCGCATTTATGTCGTAGTAATGTATGGCCCCAAAGTAATAGAACAGACACCGCAAAGTCTATTTCGCCTTCATAGCTTCCCGTGTCGCGATAGCTTCTGATGACAACCGTTGCAGGCGCAAAGCCATGTCTACGGTCATTACCAAAGGAACCAGCAGGAAGGGCACGTAGCTCGAGAGAAGCATCGTCCGCTGTTCGAAGGTAAGAGTGGTGACGCCAGCTGCGAGAGCTGCCGCCGAGGGGCCTGGAGTCGCCAGGATTGTCGTGACACAGGGCCAAACAGTCGTTGTGGTCGAGGCCGCGTAGACAAGCATGAGCACGCAGTTGTTCTTAGAATCTGGTTTCGAACTATCATTACAGGAGAAAGGGAACGAAGGCTGTTGGCGCACCGTTCCAGAGGCTCCTTGCAGCGATGAAGAATGTCGGGAATTGAAACGTTCTGTGGCAAGAGTAAGATGAATACGCCGCGACACTTTGTAGCCACTTACACTTCGAGAAAGATGAAGCTCTTGAACCAGACCAATGATTCGGAACCAAACATTGCTTTCATGAGAGGGTCACCGGAAGTCTTGATGTACCACTCTGCGAATTGACGAACTGGACCAGGAACGAGGGCTGAGGGGTATAAGGGTTGAAAATCCATGAATAGTGACGCGAATATGTGTGTCTAGTAGCCGCTGATGAGCGGTGCTGCAAGTTTTGGGATCAACATACCACAAAGAAAGCGAAGTACACTAGGTCAAGAGGACGCGACGTGAGTGGTTTACGAGCCATTGGCGCAAGTTCTCGTTCAATTTCGGAGCTGTAACGTTCTGTCCGTTGAGTCAATCGACGTTGTGCCAAATCTCCGTCCCGATTCAACTGAGGAAGAGGAGAGAAACACTGCCACTGATTGACGGCTGACTAGATCTCGTTCTCACTGGCAAATTACTCGCATACCTGCCATAAATCTGTCATGCACCTGGACCAGCTTCCGACCGAAATCTGCATCCACATATTTACTTTCGCTTGTACGGACACGGGAACCACTGGCCGCGCGCTCAGCCGCGTTTCGAAATACGTTCGCGCAGCCTCGGAGCTTGTCAAACTGCAGACGATCGCCATCTTCGGTCATGAACAGATGAGAGCTTTTGCGAGGTTGCTGGCTGCCACTCCTGCCCATCTACGCGGTACCAGGTCTCTCTTCATCGGTTATGACCACGGTGGAGACTTGCAACGCTACCATGCATTTTGGGCGCCATGGGAGAAGCTGTCCCAAAGGCGCTCTTGGTTGCAGATGATGTCAGTGAATGAAGAGCGCAGGATCCAGATCCGGACACTGACGATGGAGATGGACGAAATGCGGCGCGTTATCAACCAAAACTTTGAAACCTACTGTACGGAAGGCGCGGCCGCTCTGATGAGCATCCTTCGGGATGTGGCGCCTCATCTGCAGGTGCTGTGCCTAGATGTCGACCAATTCATCGTGAAGACGATCGCTGAATCCATCGCTCTTCCTCAGCTCGTGCACCTCACGACGCGTTGCGGATTCCCTCTCGACGCAGACCACAGTGCACCGCCTCTCCTCCAACCGTGTCCCACTCTCCGTCGGCTGCACATCGTGGAGTACCAGGACCAGTGGTATTCGATGCGGGATTTCCTGGAACAGGGCCGCGGTATAAGCTGGATTGCGCCTGCTCTGTCGCATCTTCAATTCTCCGGCGTAGGCGAAAGTGAAACTTTGCCAGGCTTGGATGTTGCCCTCGGTCTCAAAACACAGGTTCTTCCTGTGGCCATTTACGGCCCATCCCCGACGCGGCATGTCATCCCTTTGCTACCTTCGAGCGTTGAGCAAGTGGCTATCAGACCCGCTGGTGAAGATAAAGCTGATGGACTCTTGCGGACAACATTGGAGGGCTTGAAAGATCCTCGCGTTGTTCTTCTGAGCCCCGAAAAACAACCTATCGTGAATGCAGTTTTACGAGATTGGTCAGAACTGACTTCGACGTTGGGTCCAATTTAGGGGTATGTACAGGTAGTCACGTAGCGCAGTACGCACACACGTAATTATTTCTGTGGAACGCGAGAATATCCCACCCTCGTGTTGTTTGGGCGCTTATTTTACACTCCTTAAACAGCATGTCTTGAGCTCTAACTATGACCATGACCTTCGACAGTGCTCCTGCCCTTTCTCCTGCACTCAAAGGACCCTTGGACGACATCCTCTCGGGTGGAGGGAGGATCGTCTCGCACGCAGGTGTCAGTCAGTACGGCTGGGCTGGGCCATCGGCGTGTGGCTTGGCGAGCATGAACTTTGCAAGGGTCGTCTTCCAGCGAGCCGAGCTGGGTCTCAGAGATCGGGGACTGCTTGACGATATCGTATCCCGCAAGACCGTCGAGGTTAGTGGTGATCGCGGTTCGAAAGCAGATTGATGGTGACGGCCTGGTTCGCTGAACCCGCGTTTCGTTGCAGGAAGCCATCGGCGTCTGTAAACGATGGCCCAGCAACCGTCATCTCGAGGTCGAAGAGATATACAAGGTACTGAATCAGATAATTGTTTCCTTTTTGCTGATCTCAATTGCGATTGTCTGGGTCAGGTTGCTTTGTTCGACCGAGCCTTGCTACTGTTACATGAAGCCTCGATCTATTCCCAACCCAACTTGGTCCAATTGAGAGACGTTCTCGTGTAAGTTCCGAAGCTTCTTCAGACTGGGTCCGTCCTGATACGCTCTCTCGTAGACGATTGGAATCCATCCCGAGCGAGTATGCCGCGGTGGTAATTACGCGCCCACCTGAAATCATTACCTGCGTCAAATTACCTCTGCGACTGCCCTCGGGTCCTCCGCGTTGCGTATTCATGATATTCGACTCTCATCCTCGACCCGACTATCGTGATGGCGCAGGACTTTGCATAAGCACGTCTATCGACGTCGCGGCGGCCCGTCTGGACAAAATTCTCGCCGTCGATGATCGCCTCTTTGCAGACGCGTAGGTGCTTGCTTTGCTCTTGTAAACTACGCACTAAGCTTGCGAGTAAGAACTCTGCAGTGGCAGACTCAGCTGCTGGGCCATTTCTCCGGCCACTTCTTCATGCCGAAGGGTCGGACACCGAACAGCGTGGAGGAATTGACTGATGCAGTCATGGAGTCAAGTCTCGCGTCGCTCGGACTTCGAGCGGAGGTGGAAGAGCTCAAATCCAGAAACAGCACTCTGCGACAGGAGAAAGAGAGTTTGGAGGGCCAGCTCGAGAAATTGAAGGACAAGTATCAAGCACTGAAGCGCAGGCGGGAGTCTCCCAGCGCTCATTCGCCGTCAGCTTCACGTTCACAATCATCATCCCAATCGCCCGGGCAGTCAGATGCGCAATGCCATTCCCCTGCGAGAAGCAAGTCCTTACCTGTTACTCCAGATCGAGGAGATGGCAAGAATATGGGCGCATCGACATCGCTAGCTCCCACTGCACTGGACTTCTTCCGGAGCCCTTTGCGGATCTCCAAGGCCTGCACGATCGAACTTGACCCTCCCAATGATAAGACGGAAGCAGCAGAAATCAAGCCCACAATTGGGCAGAAGTGTCACACGCGACGTAGTCCGGATCGCCAGCCGGTTGCGTCAACTTCCAAGGTGAAGCTTGACAGCGATTACATGCTTGCAATGCAGGCGCAAAAGGAGTGGGATCGTGAGCACGAACATGCCGTTCTCGCGCAACGTCAATATGAATTGGAGGACGAACGCTTGACCGCGGAACGAAAGGCGCTAGAGAGGGACGCTCAAATGATCTTCAAATGCGCTGTCTGTCTGGAGCAATATCCTGAGGACTATGTCATTCGCGTGTCTGGGTGTATGCATCCGTTCTGTCGAGACTGTCTAAGACAGTTCGTCGCATCCAAGCTTGACAGCAAGCTGTATCCCATCTTCTGCCCGACTTGCAGTATGGATCCCAGTACCAACGAGCCCGAGGGTGAGACCATCTCCCTCGAAGCTCTCTGTGTTCTTCCTTACCGTATCCTGCTAGTCGTCTCTGATGATCTCATTCAAATGTTGGGGCTCGATGAAACTCAGTATCAGGCATTGCAAGAGCTTCACATTTCGGCCATGTCCATCCTCATTCATTGTCGCAAGTGAGTGATCGTCGCGGGCACGGAGGTGTGGGTCCACTAACCTACCACCCAAGATGCAAGGATTCCATCTTTGTGGACCGCACCGAATACAACGCTGCGAAACGCATCACGTGTCCTCTTCCCCGATGCAACCACACCTGGTGCAAAGGTTGTAACCAGTCGATCGCTCTAGGGGGAGCTGAGCATTCTTGTGACGGCGTGTCCGAGCTCGCCTATCTGATGAAGCGCCGAGGATGGAAACACTGCCCCGGCTGCCAGACTCCGTTCCAGAAATCCAGTGGCTGCAACCACATGACGGTAAGTAGAGCCTATCTTTATTTGCTGACAAGATTTTTACGGTCGTGTAGTGCTTGGCTCCCGGGTGCAACACACACTTTTGTTATGTTTGTGGCGGCTCGATCATCCGATCTGCTGCTGCCCAGCAGATCCGCGAGGCAGTTTCCCAGCACTATCGGCAGTGCAGGCTGTTCGAAGATGTTCCAGATATCTGATTTTCTATGTTTACCTATCAATCTCTTGGTTGTTGAGTGTGATACCATGCGTATAGATACGTAGGATCGACCGACAGATTAGATTGACAGTCGATAAGATACGATGAGAGTGACTGAGACAAGATGTGGATCGAATCGGTGAACACAATACAGATATCTGCAGGTCAGACATTTACAAAATACAAGTTCAAGATATCGCTATAGAAGGTCATCGTCAAGAATCCCTTCTTCGGTATCTTTCCAAATGTTCATTTTCTCGTCAGCCTCTGATCGCTCAAGTTCCTCCTGGATCCTGACGTCCATGACGGTGTCAATCCAAGCAATGGCCCATGCGCCGTTCCCGGACTTTGTTCCACCTAGCACAGCCTTCTCTGCGGAATCGGGCATAGCTTCCATCCGACTTCTTGTCGGTTGGGTGTCATTACGATCTGCGAGTCCAATACGATGAGACGAGGACGCGGTTCAGTCAACGACGGGGCTCACAATGGACGATGCTGGTATGGGGTTCATAGGTTCCAAGTGGAAGTTGTTCGGACGAGTCGGCTTCGGGGGCATCGTCGGTCTTGCGCTTGACTGCGTTCCCCGATCCATCGATGGGTTGGATTCCCTCTTTTCGCCATTTGGCCCATTCCGCATCAGCAGCCAAAGTCCTCGTCGCGGCCATCAGCATCCAGTTCTCTTCCGACACACCATCTCTAGACAAAAGACTTTTCCTCACAGCGTTGAGCGGACCATCGCTGTAGGGCCCCCAGCCACTCGATCCAAACAATGTCGTTGGACCACCTGCTCGATACACACCGACTGAAGTCCCTCCTCCGCGGTCCGTTTTGTTTGCAGCAGTGTTGGCACCCAGTCCGGCGTCGGCAGCATTGGCTGCATTCGCATTGGGATCAGGAAGTTCACCGACCGGATCCCCTGCTTGTAAGCCGCGAGCAGTGATTTCTTCCAACACGCGATCTTCGTAATAGTCGTCCACCACCCACCGGCCGTCTGAGTTCAAGATGAGCAAAAATATACCAGGAAACAGGGCATACTTACCAATGATAGTCTTGCTACCGTGCAACTTGAACGCACTCCGTGCAGTGACGAGAGTGACACTGCGCGTTCGAAGGTGAGTGCCAAGTTTCCTTTGCGAGATGAGGTAGTCCTTTTCAGGCTGAGTAGCATTCTGTTTCAGTGCGAGAGGATTGCGTCGAAAGTAATACAGGGAGTCACGAAAGCCAGATGTTCGAGCTGCGTCGATGGCGAGCATGTAGCGTCGTTCTGGATGCCTCCCTGGCAGTACGAAAGTAGCAGCCTTGAATTTACGGTCTGGACAAAAATGACATCTAGTTGAGAAGATAGGAAAAGTACAAGCGGACACACCTCCGAGTAGATTCCCCCATTGGTCAATCTTTTCGTCGCCCTTGGGGTCATTCTCTGTGATAAACTCGTCGCCTTCAATGATGTACGCCTTGCCCTGTATTGTACGGAAAGGCCTTCCACCTCCAATCGGGCCCTCTTCTCCTACCGCACCCATATCAACATCTGCACCATGCTCCGAGCCGTCCTCGTCAGACTCATCGTCGCGCTTGGGCAGTCGGATAGTAAAGCCAGCACCGCCAGCTGCACGCGCCATGCCCCGGGCCCGCAAAGGCGGCCGTCCCCTTCCCCGTCCCCGCCCACGTGGCGTACTCGTCCCGGGCACCGCAGAGCCTCCTGGCGCGTGTCCGAGTAATGCCTTCTTGCCGGAGCCGCGCGGTCGTCCCCGTCCTCGTTTCACGGGTGGCACCACTGCGGGCGCTTCTTCGGGAGTAGCGGTGGGAATTGGATCGTCGATTTCCATGGGCGTGGGCGCGTCCTCGGTCCCATCGTCGGCCTCCGCATCTGTGTCTCCTTCATTCGCGACGCTGTCAAGTTTTTCTTCCTCTTCTTCCTCTTCTTCACGAGCCAAGATCGTGCCCTGGACAGCGGCGGAGGACCTGGGCTTAATCACTATCTTCGGAAGCGCTGACATCGAGATCAGCCTGAGCGCGAGGTACACGAAGCGTCACGGTCATGGTCACGACTTCATCTTGACATGTGCAATTTGACTCTTGGGCCGGGCTGTATGCAGTACATAGTTGCATCCCCAAACACCCCAGTTTGCTCTATGGGCTCATGGACTTGTTTCTACCGCTCTCACATGCTCAGATCCACACCTACCCACGTGTATCCCGAATGCACCGGAGTACAGGAACGCCTGACAAGCTGACGTCGCCTATGCACCGGCGACCTTGAGTAAGGTACGAACAACCTGCAAAGTGTTGTCTACTCGCCATTTATAAGTATCTCCAATCCAGGAAAAGTCCACCTTGTCCTTTTCCCGATGTCCTTCACCAGACGGTCTGATCAGCGCACAACCACGATACCGAGCACTGTTGATGAGTTCACGGCACGGTACTCAGAAACCGGAACACAGAGCAACCTGAGTTTCTATGATGCTTTCATCCTCCCAGGTCAAGAGAAGCTGACCACCTCTGGGTCCGTCGTCAAAGCTCAAGCGCTGCTTGCTTTCCGCGTGGTCCCGATGCTGGGTCTTCACCCGAGGGATGTTATACCAGCCTGGGAGAAGATACCCGTGTCTACTGGTGTGTCTGTCCGAACGCTCTGCTCCAGATCCGACCCCTGATGTTCAATAATAGATCCCGATTGTCGGGACATGTTAAACAAGCTGTGCGCAGCCAGCTCAATCGACTTGGGCTCTGTATCGCTGAGCAGAAACAACGCGGAGAACCCCGAATTGCACAATCTCATTCGTCTGATGCAGTTGGAGCGCGACGTACCCGATCCTTTCTTTCCTACGCCGCTCGACATCGACGGAGCCACGACGTTTGCGCGGAAATCCATGTCCCAGTTCATCACCAACCCTTTCCTGACAGTCTTTCTCTCCCTGCGAGATCTGCGCGCGCGGAGACTGGCGGAGCACTACGAGGATGTTCGTGACGGTGCCTCAGTCGCGACGAAGAGCGGCGTGACGGGCGAGAGCGACGAAGACAAGAACGAAGTGGCCAGCGAGGAATTGCTCCATCGTCTCATGGACATCGTGCTAGTATACTATTCGAGGAAGACAAAGGATCAAGACTGGTTGCGAAGGTGTGATTCAATGAAGCGCCTCAGGTATCATTTTGACGATGTGCCAGCACCGGGGCTCAACTACAGTTGAGCTGTTCTTTCACATGCTCGCCGAATGACCTAGAAGAATTCCGTCGAATACCCAAGCCTAAAGAAAACGGAAGGATGGAGGAAGAAGGCCCTCGTCAACGCAGCAACTCAAATCCAGACGACCTCGAGGTCTGTCAGCTTCGCAGTCTGCGCTCATGAATTCATTGTTGGGCAGTCGGAAGCAAATAAACAAGCGGTAAAGCAACTGGAACGGGACAAGAGAGCCAACCTGGACAAGGCCAGCACGAATCGTGTGTTGTCGGACTTGCGCGTCAGACCAGCCAGACTGAAGCTACTCAGAACAGACAGCCGAGCGGATCAAATTCACTGCCAAAGATGACGGTTACATGTATCTCGCTCGGGCTGGCAAGAAGTCGGGTGGCAATCGTTTCTCCAAGATCCCCGTGGTTCGATATGAGGTACACCTGCAGCCCGCAAGCCATTGCACTGCTCAACATCTCTTCCAGGCGAAACGATTAGTTCTTCCGGGACTTCCCATTTATGTGAGTTCGAGTTCTCCAAGATACATGCTCTCCATGTCTTTACTATCGACGATAGCGACAACGCGAAGCGCAGCTGACCAAAGAGCGGGAGTTTTTCAAGTCCGCAACCAGTCAGGCCATTGATGTGAATGAAGGAGAAGAGGTCGAGACCTTTGGGTATCTGTCCGAGCCCCCTCTGACAATGGTTCACAGATGACGGAGGAATTGCTCAAGCTGGTCGCTCAACAGTATGCAGAGATGCTAACGGGGATATACGTCAATCTTCACTATGCTGCCGACTACGACACCCGCGCAAGACTGGTTCCCCCAGAGTGAGGATTCCAAGAAGAAAGTCAACAAGGAGGAGAAAAGTCTTCAGTCGATGCTCGACTCAAAGGGAAAGAAGGCTGCTGTGACGGCTGCTCCAGATCCAAACTTCTTTGCGGAGGAAGTTGACGACTGTGATGACCCTGATGTGACGGAATCTGAAACCGAGATATCGTTCTCCAAACCTGTCAATAAGAAACAGGATAAGAAAGAGACCAAGACCAAGACCAAGACCAAGACCAAGACCAAGACCGAAACCAAGACTCAGACCCAGGCGAAGACCAAGAAAGAAACCAAGGATCAAAAAGAGTCAAAAAAGCAGCCTTCAGCCAAGTTTGATGGCAAGATCCACGTGAGATATCGCGCTCGCAGCTTACTTATGTCGCGGACTGAAGCTTGGCTGCAGGAAATCAAAGTCTGGAGAAACCAGGAGGTAAGCCCACAATTTCGAGTGACCAACTGTGCTGATCGCCTGCACAGGCCTTCACGATTCACCTTCGGCACACCTATATCAGTTTCAGTAGAGTCGAGCTGACCAAAGCATATCTCGAGGATGTCGCCAAGGAGGCTGTGCTTGACAAAAAGCACCAGGTCAAGTATCTCCAAACGAAGGAGTTCGATTTGCTCTACGCGCATGACCGATACGAAGCTGGTCGAGCTCTCTGGGGTCTGATCGACTATCTCCACCAAGCAGAAGAAGATGAAAGGCCGATGATCGGTCGGTTGCAGACTGAGGCCAAACAACATTTCCGTGAGTGGGTTCTCCAGTCATTATGACATCCACCTGACGTATTGGACAGAGAAATACTTTCCTGTCGAACACCATGATGGACGCGAGGACGGAGATGAGCCAGATGGGGGTATGCGAGATGGAGGACCGAACGGCATCCAACGTCTCGGAACAGGCTTCTCCAACGCCCTTCTACAAGCGTTTGCTGCGGCCATCCCGAATGACTCTGTCGACAAGCTGCTCGAGAGCTATAACACCACAGACTCGGTACCTGGTCTTTTTGTTGCGGCGCTCAAAAAGATCACGGGCAGCACCTCCAAGAAAGTCGCCATCAGATCGCTGGTTCTCGTATGTTTTGGGGGCTTTATGCAAAACTGAAGCGCGCTCTGATTTATTTTTCAGAAAGGGATGGGTTATGATGAAGCAGCAAAGATAGACGCGGCAGATTTCGTGCATCAACTTTTCGCCGCGTTTAATCACGAAGTCGTCCATCCCTTTGGCCACAAGGAACAGATGAATATCTTGAACTCTTTGTTCCAAATCCACATCGGTACTAGGACAGTGTGCGCCCGTTGCGGACTCGATCAGGTGAAGAACATCTTACACAGACCAAACGGCTTGTTAAGCTCTCCACAAATAGGAATTGAACCCCACGGGAACCCGCGTGCTCACATTGCAGCCATCACTAGAACCTCAGGTGGATCTAGCGACGGGTGCTCCAAGTCCGCAATCTGTAGAGGCGCTAGTGAAGAAATATTTGGAGAGACATCCCGAGTCCAATACGTCGTTCTGGTATGGCTGACTCGTTTGTCCTCGATCGGAAGAATGCTGAAAACGAGATAGGTGTCACCGACCCCACCATTGTTTCGCCCAAGCCCAGGAGATGTTCAAGCTGAACGGATCCCCAGGACCAGAACTACTACTTGTGCAGATCTCTCGGAGTCTGACGATCGATGCCCGACGCAACCAGTATCAGAATGGTCTCCCGCTCGAACAATTGAAACAAGTGCGGCGCGTCCATGAGAAAGTGGCCGCAAAGCTGGCTGTCGCCGACTCGGAGCTGGCGCAGTTCGAAACGGACGCTCGCTCAGAACTGGAGGCTCTCTCGCAAAAAAAACAGCAGGGAGACCAATTCCTGCCGCTTCCCATGAAAGTTATCTCCCCCTTTGAAGAGAAACGGAAAGCGTTGGCAGTTAAACTCAATACCGTCGGCGAGGATGTCATTCGCCGGGAACAGATGTTCTTGTCGGTCAAGCCACAAGCACCGCTGGACCTCTTCGACGAGCTGCTAGGCGCGAAGCCTCTCAGATTGATCATGGCCGACACGTCCACCAAAGCGCAAAGCCGGGTTTTCTATGATCTGTATGCGATAGTTTCTCATCGCGGAGAGACAGTCCAGTCTGGAAACTGTGCGTTGCCGTTTATCTGTTCCGATTGCCACTCTAATGACCACGGCAAACAAACAGACTGGGCTTACACGCTTTACGAGGATAAGTGGTACAAGTGCGTCAACGAGACCGTGACGGAGATGTCCAACGAGCAGATGGTGCGTGCTTTAGCTCTGTTAACAGAACGAGACTTGACGTCGGGTGCGAAGGTCTCCGAGCTGGAGGTCGCCTGTATCCCCTATCAAATTGGCGAGGAAACCAAGCACCACTGGGAAGAGAAAGAGAGCGGCGTGCCTTACCTTTTGTTTTATCGCCGCAGCCTCGATCAGACACAGGATGACAGGACGGAACTCTTCGAGACGCTCGGATCTCTGGGAGACGACGATCTTCCAGAGGAGCCCCACTCTTCACATTCTCTGCACGAGGAGGAAACTGCAACACCGACAGAATATGCACCTACACGCTCCGATTACGAGGACAGTCAGGGAGGCCGGTCCGGGTATAGTGACGGGGATTCCATGCTCACGGAATGATGTGCAGACTGAACTTGATCCAGGGCTGCCATGTGGAGGAACACACAGGGAGAAACGCCTGAGAATAAATGACAGTCTGTTTTGAGACACATATTCATTACGTAAATCGGTCAAAGCGAGATTACTTATGTAAGCCCATTCAGCCCGGGCTTGACCTTTTTGACATAAATGAGGTTGTGTACCACAAGATCAACCGCGTCTATCCGAAAAGAGAGAGGTCTCTCTGCTTGCCGCCAGGCAACTCTCAGTGGGGCGTACTCCCAACTGTCAAAACCTGCCGGATCCATCAAAGTCTCTTGAACCACATTCATGAGGCCAAGAACCTGAGGCAACGAACCTGACATGATGAATCTGCATGTCAGAGACTTACACGCAGTCATCGGCGGAACATGCGAGCCGTCTCCTCCAAGCCGGCACGGGTTCAGGTATCAAGTTTAACCTTTGGTGCATGCGCTGTGCCGCTGCCTGTGGTTTCCCGCTCAACCATGTCTGCCCCTGGAGAGGTTCTCAGTTTGGTTCCTCCCCGCTCCGAATGGCGGTTCAGACGGGGAAAAGCCCGCACTGTCCGGATGAAGGTGCTAGCACTCGGATATCCGCGCACTGGAACATCTTGTGCGTTAACTTGTGCTCACGGACTCGATCTCGCTAGATGGCATTAATCCTCACAGCTCTGCGGAAGGCGCTCAAAATTCTCGGCTACGACGAGGTCTACCACATGGAGTCGGTGTTTGAGAATCCCCACGATGCGGATCTCTGGAAGGAAGTGTACCAGACAAAATACGAGCAGGGGAAGCTGGTTTCGAGAGAGAAATTCGATGAGATCCTTGGTCACTGTGAGGTTCGTTCATATTACCGACCTAGCTACTGCGATCTGCCTCGCTAACGAAATCTGGCATCGGAAAGGCGACCACCGACGCCCCTCCCATGATGTATGCCGAGGACCTGATCGCCGCCTATCCGGACGCAAAAGTCATCCTCACTCTACGTGACCCGACAAAGTGGTGGAAATCTTTCCTCTCGACCGTTGCAAGGGTGCCTCAAAACCGCACATTGGGCCTCGCCATGAAGCTTGATTATTCCGGTGTCCGGCACCTTGGGGGAATGGCGAAACAGATGGGTCGGCAACTGTGCGGACCGGAAGCGACGGCCCAAGGCGCCCAGGCCCGTTTTGTTGCGCACTACGACCACGTCCGCGCGTTGGTGCCTAGAGAGAGGCTTCTCGAGTTCGATGTCAAGGACGGATGGGAATCGCTGTGCCCGTTCCTTGGTGTGCCGATCCCCGATTGCGAGTATCCGTACTCGAACGACAGCGCGATCTTCAATCAGAGGATCACCGCGACAGGCCGAGCTGCCCTCTGGCGTGTTGCCGGGGATCTCGTCGTTCCCGTGTTAGGATTGCTAGCTGTCGGCCTGGCTGCATATTTCAGCTCGGCAAAGTTTTAGTCGCTAGAAGGCAACATTCATGATTTGTGTCCTTGTACATTCGTGGCGACAATTGGGTACGCTTCGATAAGTAATCTCAGGCTAACAGCTTGTATCAATACGCAGCGATCGATTTCTGACCAATGCTGCTCTAGGATCGAGCCGCCTGTTTGAGAATCCAGACTGGTGAGGGCTTTGATAATGAGTAACGATATATATGGGTACTTCATATTGGCCGATACCGCAGCAGAAATCAATGATCTTGGGCTTCAGGAGCGCGTTTCGGGCTTAGGATATTCAGATTTTGCCAGATTTTGATTTTCACCTATTCCACAGCTGCACGGATTTGACAAGGGATATTTGCAGCTTGATTGATCGGCTATTTTCCTAATTTTTGAGCTTGAGTACTCGAGCTGAATTCTATACAATCTTTCGCTGCTCCCAGGGCTTTTCTAAGACTATCATAATCAAAGGAAACGAAGACCGAGATTGGGCACTGGAAGGGTCGAAGTTTCTGAACAGGTGTCGAATCTGTCGATTATCGGAACTTAGACCCGCGGAACCAAATTGATCGACCGCTGCTTCTTGATCCATTGTCTAGCATTGTCTCATGACATAACCGCCGAGTTCTCCTGACTATACTGTCCAACCTGGTCCCTCGCTGTGCGCACTTCACCGAGACATGCTTCTTTCCGGGCAACACGAATCTCTAGCAACCCTCCAACTTCGTTGGTCTCATCTCCGAAGACTGCAGAACTGTGGCCCTGATCAATCTATGTCGCTCCCACTCAGTTGCTCCGCAAGTGACCGAACAAAAACAAGAAGCGGGTAGCTCTGCGACAGTTGTCTCACTATGTGTCGGATGGTTTGAACACTGCCAAGCTTAGGACAACAGTGGGCGATGTCTCAGCTGCGAGTGCGGATGTAAAATGTCTCGCCTCCTATCTCCCGGTTTCTACATATAAGGGGGGCGCAGGCGACCGAGAGCGCCTATCCATTGCTTTAACTGTTTAACACAAACCACCGCTACCTACCATCCACTCTGCATCAGTGAGTCCTTCTCTCGCTCTCTGAACGCATCGTTCTCATCTGCTTCTAGCATTACCATGTCGCACATTACCACTTATGATCTCCCCGAGTCCATCGCTCCGTCCTCCTCGACCTCGAGTGCCTCATCCGACTGCTCGTCGAGCAGCACAAGCACCCTTCGAGACCGTCGAGGGGTGTCGCTGTGGATATCGTTCTCCGCCGTCTTCCCCGTCGCTCCCAAACCCAAGGGAGCGCTCGGCCCGACCGTGAATAACATCCCCCGTCGGCGGAAGCGCAGTAGTGTCGTGTCCATCGACTCGCGGCCCGTGTCTGAGAACTCATCGTCTCTTGACCGGGTCGACTACTTTGCGTGAGGGGTCGGGTCGAAGAGGAGGCGGATATGGAGTCGTACGCGGTCGTGTGATGGACACCAGGTAAGTCATCTATCCGGTCGATGCCACAAACCCTGAGATTAGTCTATAGCCCTCCACGACATCAGGCTATGACTAGGTGCCAACTTGCGTTGAAGCTTCTTCATTCCAACATATCCAATGGGATTTTGGAAAGCTTAGACTGGGAAGCCGCTGCGCGTCCCAAAATTTAAAACAGAGTGCTTGTGAAGGACGTATTCGTATACTCCTTGTTACGCAGCGCTTCGTGGCTCATGCACAAATGTTGCTCGAATCAAAACACCATAAATACGAACGGCCTTATTTTAAGAAATTACCCTGTTCTCGTTCTCTCACATATGAATCGGGATAAACCGCGTAGGGTCCCATTACTGTTTAGGTAGAATCAAAAGCATTGCGCCGCACGCTGAGACTTTGAGTCGCTGTATGATAACGGAGACATCTGAGACATCCGTTTATGCTCCAAAGTATCCGCTCCCCACGTAATGCCATCCCCAGCACTGCTATCATCGCACATACTCCAGATCAAGACCAACGAAAACGGGGAGAGAGGATATTGTGCAAGGACTTGCCCCTGCACTTGGCTCGAGGTCCAAGTGAAGTCAAGGCAGATTATTGTGCTGATCTCTGAATGTGCAGGCGTCGAGGTCTGAGGTCGGCAGTTGATTCATCTCGCGTCACTACGAGCCCTGTATTCTGCGGGGTATTAGCATCGACAAGCGTTGGCGCGCTTCGCGAACACGTGAGGGCGTTTCCGCTTATTGGCGGGCCGGGGGGACTACTAGTCTCGAGTTTTCGGGATAATCGGTAATATTATCGGCATTTTGGCATTGGTTCGGTTACCGTAATTCGCTCTAGGTGTGTTGAGAAACTTACTTGACTTGACTATAGCTAGTATCTATAAACTCGATTCGAGTTTGAACGTTTGAACGGCGAGTTTGGATTATGTAAGTCATTCTCTTCGATCAACAATCCCACTACATATTCAATTATCTCATCAGCCCTCAGCTCACTGCGCGAGTTCGTAGCCCCATCTGGGGAATGATCTCACGACGTAGAGCTTTACAGAATGTCATTTCTGAGTGCATTCTTCATGTTCGGCGGCTGGCTTGAAGCGCATTTGTCTGACATCGCGTACGGACCGGCGAAAGGTACGAACAATGTTTGGCCTGTCGGCTTTGTACTTATAGGCACGCCAGTGGTGAGCATTCTCCTCTCACCTCCCCTACCGACGCGATGAATATTGAAGATACTAAATCAGCCACTGGAGGCGCGGCGACATCCAACATCGAGGAGGAGAAGACTCTCCCACCTGCGTCCTCAGCCGAGGTGAAAAGAGGGAGAGGGAGACCTCCGAAGGCGACTATCGTGTCCGGTGAACAGATCGACGTGCCTAGCACCACCCAGGGGTTCCGCAACTGGTACAACGACAAAGATCATCCTCATTATGTCAGTTTCTACGACGGTCTGGATATCAAAGGGAAGGTGTTGGGAACGAGTGGGTCCACCATAGATGTCCGCGCTTTACTCGCGTTCCGTGTCGTCCCCCGGTTGGGTTTGGAGCCAAAGGATGTGATTCCCGGCTGGGACAAGGTCAATGCGACTCCAGGTGCGTCTATGGCGAACGCTTGCATCGGCGAAAGGCTGAGTCCCGCCCCCAGATTGCTCAGAGATGCTCCTCAATCTGGTGGCTGCTAGCTCTACAGATTTGGGCTCAGTCTCGTTGACCAAGCATACTGAGGGTGTGCAGCCCGAGCTGGTGGCCATGCTTCGCTTGATGCAGCTGGACCGGGACGATCCACATTATCTTCTCGACAATATCGACGGTGCCACAACGGTTATGCGCAAACCGATGTCCGACTTTCTATCGAACCCCTTCGTGTCCGTTTTTACCGCCCTGCGCGATCTCCGTACCCGACGCCTGGCTGAAAACTACGAGCACGTTTTGGACGGCGTCTCCTGGGACAATGGGAAGAGCTTGTCAAATGAATCAGAAGAAGATAAGGGCGAACGCGCCAGTCAGGAGCTGCTCTTCCGGTTGATGGATGTCATCCTCCAGTTCTTTTCGAGACAAAAGCAGGGTGCAGATTGGCTGCGCAGGTAAAATTTTCACTACAGATGACAATTCCTTTTACTGATTGCTATTACTGTAGCACTGGAGCAGAGCTCAAGCTCGGGTCCTCTTTTGCATGCTCCCCAGGCGACTATAAGAGATTTTTGAAACGCAAAGCGGAGGAGGAAGAAAGGGAGCGGAAGCGTAAGGAGAAGGCACGCAGGAACTCAAATCCTGTCGACATCACTGTCAGTTTGTCCCTCCCGGCATTTTTATTTTAGATCTGAACGATCTTTCTTACCAGGCGGAACGGAATAGGCTGACAGCGGAACTCGAGGAGGAAGACGTTGCAGATCCATTGGATCACGTTTCAGATATCGAAGAGGAGGGGGAGGATCCCGGCAGTAAGTCTCAGAACTCTTCATCGATCAGTCGTAATGTCTTCTCAGGTAGCAAACGTATTCATTTTTCCTCGACCGACGACGGGTACATGTATCTTGGTCGTGCCGGTAAAACTTCTGGCAGTAATCGATTCTCGAAGATCCCCGTCGTTCGCTATGAGGTATGTCTCTGATTCGAATGTCGGAATCCTACTGAAGTTGTGTAGGCGAAACGCCTCAAGGCGATGAATGTTCAGGTACCTAGCTCGGATCTTGTTTTCCCTCGCTAGCCATTCACTGTCAGCAGAAAAATCGACCGAAGCAACTCAAGAAGGAACGAGCCTTTTTCAAACGTCAATACGCTGTCGATCGGTCCGGCAGCGCAGATGACCCACAATTCATGGGGACCGATCAGCCTGAGGCGGTTTTGGAGACGGTCAGCAGCTCTGTATTCGAAAAATCTCAACCGACGCTCAACTTGACTACAGAATCACATCTCTCGTGCTGCGCTCAAAGTCATTTCGCAACAGTTCGCTGAGATGCTCACTGGGATCTACGTCAACTTACACTACCGCAACGACTACGAACGCCGTGAGAAGGAGCGCGACAAATTGGAGAAGGCTCTCTTCGATGCGCTTCCTGATGCTGAAAAACGGAAGATGGCTGCAGATCTCGCGAAAACGATGTCGGCCGCGGGCCAAGAGAAAGCTTGGCTGTACCGTCAGGAATTATCTCGTGATGCGCATCTGGCACACGGAAACGATGTCGTCACCCCGAGAAACGTCGATTTTCTGGAGAAAGAGGGACTAGACTGTGAGGATGCCGACACGGCTCAGGCTCAAGACGAGCCTAGTGGCGAGATGGAGATTGAGACTAGGAAAAATTCGAGGCCACGAGTGCCACTATCGAAGCCCTACAATGCGAAGCGGATCGGGGTACGACCTTTTCTCTTCTAAGTATTGTAACGTGGAGCTGACTATTTTGAAGGAGATCGGGGAGTGGCAGCATCAGCAAGTAAGTGTCTCTGAAATCGTTCACCTGATATATTCACCGTTGCTTCAGGGATTCACTATCCACATTCGCCACACATATATCAGCTTCAGCAGGATCGATGTCACCGCTGACTACTTGGAGAAAGCAGCAACACTGGAATGTCTCAAAGAAGGATCAGTCGAATTCAAACAAACGAGGGAATTTGATCTTCTGTATGCTCATGACCGATATGAAGCTGGAAGAGCGATATGGGCATTGCTTAGCTTCCTGCACGGCGAGGGAGAGGAAAAACCAGCGATTGGTCGGTTGCAAACTGCTGCGAAACGCAACTTTGGTGAGTCAAAGCACAATTCCATTCAGGCTGAGAGGATGGAATTCTGAGTTTCGCTTTGAGGCACGTACTTCCCTCTGATGCATATGGATGGAAAGCCTGGCGACCCAGGACTCGACTTGAAGGGCAGTGGATCGAACGGGAGTAACCTTGAGCGCATAGACGACCCAGATCACGTGGCGAACGCAACAGACCCCGGTCCAAACAAGCTGATCAATGTCGGCAATACCTGCTATGCTAATGCGTTGATCCAATCGCTTGCAGCCACCATCACGCCCGAGCAGCTTGATGAACTCGAGAAACTTGTCGCAGACAATTATGAAGCGACCTGGGCTCCAACTAAATTTGTTCAAGCGCTTAAGGATGTCAATGGACCTCCCAAGACGGGACTATCGCTGGAGCATCTTGTTTGGACCCAAGAAGAGCTACAGAAAGTAAGTTCTCTCATTTTTTCGCTTTGTATCTCTTGTCTTACTCCTACGAAGATCAAAACAGAGGAGGCCGGCGAGCGGAAAACAGAAGCGGCCAGAAAGCTCAACGGGTTGCCACCTGCGACTATCAGTGAACCAGAGCGCAAATGGAGAGAGACCCGCACTCGCACTCGCGAAAAATTGCGAAAAGAAACGTTGGACTTGGAACGTGGGAAACAAGAGGACCCGTTGCAGATGCTGGATGTGCTTCTAGGGACGGCCTTCGATGTACCAGGGGCTGAGATGAAGCTGCTGCAACTCGATATCAAGGAGGTTTTCACCTGCACTGGTGGTACATGTTCGGGCCAGGTCAGTGCGTATCGGGAGACATACCTCAGTTGCTCACCGAAGCATACAACAGAAAGGAAAGGTTGATCCAGATTATGTGCTGCGACTACATCTCGACTTGGTCGAAAAGCCGTTGGAGGAACTCGTGAAAGCTGCATTCGCCGCTCGGCCGCTGGAGTTGCTCAGGTGTGTTCTCCCGCTCGTGATGTCGCCTGTCCTCGCCAACTCAGGTCGCCAGTTATGCATGTCCTATGCCCTCAAGGTGCTACACTGGTGTGACAGTACAACGCGAAATCACAAAGCATCCTGGTCCGCCGATTCTAGCCGTCCATCTCAATCGGGCGCTCAATATACATTACGGCAACAACCAAATCACGGATGGGGTTCCCCTTGCTATCTTGCGGCAGATCGTGGCCGACCGAACTGAGTTGGCCGCTGGACTTGCACAGGGCGAGCATGAACTCGTACAATTGAGGAACAATCTGCGACCGAAGATGAAGGTACAATACGAGAAGGATAAAGCCGCGGCCGCCTTCTTTGGGGCGGATCTCTCTAAGCTTGATGATTCTAAAGAGATGAAAGATTTGCAAAAAGAGTACGCAGATGCCAAATCTCGCACGGTAGATGCTTTGCGGAATTCCAAGCCTCAAACTCCCCGGAAGACACATGCTCCGGTCAACCTCTTCAATGCTGACGGGACGACCGAGACCCTGGTATTGCCCATAACGTCTGCCACAGGAAACAGACGAGGCGACGTCTCGTACGAACTGTACGCGGTGGTCTGCCATCGGGGAACGACGGTTGATAGCGGACATTGTGCGCCATGTGCTCGTGTCTTCCGACTATTTGCTCACCCGTTTTGGGGCAGATGTTGCATACGTGCGAAGAGACGACATTTGGTTCAAATGTGACGACGATTTAATTTCGAAGATCGGCGACTCTACTGCTTTGGTACGGGCTGTGTTACATTTGGCAAACTTGGAGCTCACCGTCCCACACAGCAAACAACTTTCAATATCGATGCCGCTCAACATGTGGCCTACCAAGACGACACGGGTGCCAACAAAGGATATTGGGAAGAAAAGGGCAAGGATGGGGAGTCGGACCAACCGTACCTTTTGTTCTATCGTCGCATCGAGCCTGTCCCTGCGATCTAGGGAGGGCATGTCGAGCCAGCTACACTCTGCACCGTGTTAGTAGATGACAATACCATGAACGCAATGACCACGAGCCAGCATATACCAAACCGAAGGCACCGTCAGTCCCTTCTCTTATCTCGATTGCAACGACGGACCATTATATTACAATTGTGGTCTGTTACAACCTCCCTATACTTTTCTGTGACCGGACTATCCGGAAATTCAGCAAGGGAGTGCCCCGGCACTGTGAATCCACGGATGCCCTGTCTCTGATTGCGGATGCAAACTGCTCGCCTCCTATCACCCACTACCACTTACGATCTCCCCGAGTCCATGGCTCCGTCCTCCTCGACCTCTAGTATCTCATCCGACTGCGTGTCGAGCAGCATAAGTACTCTTCGAGACCGTCGAGGAGTGTCATTGTGGATCTCGTTCTCCGCCGTCATGGCAAACCAGGCTGGTACTGGGTCGAGATTCGCCTTCAAGTTTCAACGCGTTTCCTAGGACTATACCTGCCTTTTGGTCAGTTTGGGCCGACAGGGCGACGGCGCTGAGTTGATTTTCGAGGAGTCAACCACATCAGTTGGTTTCGATCTACGGCAATAAAGCACGGACACCATCTTGGAACTCGCGCGCAAATGTTTCTACTAGGCCCTCGTCGATGGCGTCCTCGTTCCAGGTCAATGCTACTCTGACAGCCCCGGTCGGGTCCCCGACGACGTTCACTTTCAGCGCGGCTCCGTAGATCAAGTCGCATTGGGCAAATGTCACATCCGCAACCTGCCACGTGCCTTGACCCTCGAACTTGACTCTCCCGGTATTCGAGAGCTCGAAGGCGGCCGTCCGTTTCTTGCCCAGCTGACTCCGGAAATACGGTTGCAAGTCTCCTCTCAAGAGGGCGAGCAGACCGATCCTTTCTTTACCGCTCACGCGGGCCGCCTGGAGATCTTTGGCGTACGCCTCAGCGCGAGACCACTTGAACGCGGGATCGACAGGCGGGAAGGTCGATTGACCGGTCGCGTAGTCGCAGATCGCTCCTGCAGGGGTGTCGGTGAAGCCTCGGAGAGACATTGCGACTGCAGCACCGATCGTTTTGTATGTGGATTCGGGCGGGATGTGGCGTGACAAGATTGCCACTGCCAGGATATAGAATGCCGACGTGACGGTGGCCCCGTTCGCTCGACAGACTTTTGAAAACCCGGCCATTTCGGATGGTGGAAGCACGAAGATCTTGACACGTGGACTGAGTTCGGGGTCAGCGGGGACAGGGTTTGCGGTCCAGGCAGTGTACGCAGTCCGCCAGGAATCCGGGATGAAGAGCGAGATGACCGTGCGAATGATGGTGAGAAGAGACGGGCGAACGTCTAGCGCAACGTCTATCGCAGGTACGACTGGAAGATCATCGGGAACGACAACTTCCGTTGGGGATAGATCCGGTGCTTGCAACGCTGCATAAAGTGAGTGGTGGAACGCAACTCCACTGAGCCCATCTCCTATCCCATGGTGGTATGCGAACAGTACAGTGTTGTCACTCAAAACAGTGACGCGCCAAAGAGGGAGCTCTGCGCTGGTGTCGAACGGTGCGGAAAGTTGAGCTTGTATGGCCACCTCTAGATCAGCTGTATCAAGAAACCGGACTACGGACGCAAGGTCCACAGAGTCCAGGCGGACGAAATACGGTTGTTTCGAATCCTCGTCTTTGACCCGTGCAGATAGGATAGGATGAGCGCGAACGGTGGCACCGAGAGCGGGGAACAGGATCTCTCTCGTCAATTTCAACTGGCTGCCACTCTCGTGTACGTATCTGGCTGAGACCACGACGCAAGAATCGAGCCCGAAGAGTGCGCGGGAGATGTGAAAGCACTCCAGTAGACCTTTGAGGAAGAGATGGATGGGCGTGAAAGCGTGTATGAGCCACGAGACACACCTGCATTTCTGAGGAGAGACATAAGTAATTGGACAAGAACGTGATAGAACAGCCGGAGATGACGAATTCAAAATATAGTCTGGTCAGCAGCCGGTTAACCGTCCAACCGACCGTTCGAATCGCGTCCAGAACTAACTCTTTGTGCTTCTTGCTGCGCACAGATGGGATGCATGAGTTTTTGTATGCTTGGGAGACTTAGAAGGAGTGCGGAGCCGCCGCAAGGCTTTGCGGACGCGATGGAAACCCGAATCGATGAGTAGATTGAGTTGTCATCTGTTTGCCGTGATTCGGAGCCGCACTCGCTTTCCTCTACACCGTCGCGTATTGCGGCCTCTCCATCATGGCCGACAAGATTACGCGTATTGCTATCGTCGACTCCAACCGATGCAAACCTAAGCGATGCGCGCAAGAATGCAAAAAAGTGCGTTCCAAATGCGCCGATTTTCATTGGATCACAAAAAATTGACGCCGTCGCAGTCGTGCCCTGTGGTGAGAATGGGTTCGTCGTCGTCTGCCGCAGAATCGGCCGTCTCTGTGGGGGTACTCAAATGTCGCGTTCGCTAGGGAAACTGTGCATTGAAGTGAAATCGACGGATAAAATCGCTTTCATCTCCGAGTTTTTGTGCATCGGTTGTGGTATCTGTGTGAAGAAGTGCGTCGATCGGGCTGGAATTCGGGGCTGTTGTCGATGCTCATGGTATCTTTCAGGTGCCCATTCGAAGCCATTACAATCATCAATCTACCGACCAATCTGGAGTCCCAAGTGACCCACCGGTACACCGCCAACTCGTTTAAGCTACATCGGCTGCCAACACCACGACCTGGTCAGGTTCTGGGTCTCGTTGGGACGAACGGTATTGGAAAGAGCACGGCGCTGAAGATCCTTGCGGGGAAACTGAAGCCCAATCTCGGAAAGTACGATGTGCGTGCAGATTCATCTGCTGTGGTGGAATTTGCCACTGATCTGGCTGTTACTAGGACCCTCCGGACTGGCAAGACATCCTCAAATACTTCCGTGGCTCCGAGCTGCAGAATTACTTCACCAAAGTCCTCGAGGATAACTTGAAGGCGCTCATCAAGCCGCAATATGTGGACCACATCCCTCGTGCGATCAAGGGCAAAATGACGGTGTCTCAGATGTTGGACTCGAAGATGGAGCGAGATAACAAGGCTGAGATGTGCGATGTGTTGGAATTGAACAAGGTTCTGACGCGTGACATCTCGGAGTTGTCTGGTGGTGAGCTGCAGCGATTTGCGATCGCCATGACCTGTGTTCAGCAAGCTGACGTGTGCGTCGATGTGGCCTTCTGACCGTCGCCGCAATCACTGACTGGCTTCAGATACATGTTCGACGAGCCCTCTAGTTACCTGGACATCAAGCAGCGGCTACGAGCTGCCGAAGTCATCCGTGCCCTCCTCCACCCTGACTGCTATGTCGTCGCTGTCGAGCACGATCTGTCCGTGCTGGACTACTTATCGGACTTTATCTGCTGTCTGTACGGCAAACCCTCGATGTACGGTGTCGTGACGATGCCATCGTCCGTGCGAGAAGGCATCAACATCTTCCTGGATGGTTTCATCCCGACCGAAAACTGCGATTCCGAGAGGAATCACTTTCGTTCAGAATGGTAGAGACTGCCGAGGAGCTGATCGTGGAGAAGTCCCAACACTACTCGTACCCTGCGATGACCAAGACGCTAGGCAACTTCAAGCTGACGGTTGAGTCCGGTTCGTTCTCGGACTCGGAAATCATTGTCATGTTGGGCGAGAACGGGACGGGGAAGACAACGTTCGTGCGCTTGCTGGCTGGTGACACGCCAGACGAGGAGACGGACAAGCAGGACCTGCGGGTGTCGCTCAAGCCGCAGACGATCTCCCCCAAATTTGCGGGCACTGTGCGGATGTTGCTGCTCAAGCAGATCAAGGCTGCTTTCATGCACCCGCAGTTCCAGACTGATGTGCTGAAGCCAATGAATCTGGAGAACTTGATGGATCAGGAGGTGAAGACGTTGTCGGGAGGAGAGTTGCAGCGTGTTGCTATCGTGCTCGCACTCGGTGTGTATATCTTTCGCGAGGGCGTATGTCAACTTACCGGGACCAGGCAAGCCGAATGTGTCGGTTTATCTCTTGGATGAGCCAAGTTCTTTCCTGGATTCCGAGCAGCGTATTATCGCCAGCAAGGTCATCAAGCGATTCATCCTGCATGCCAAAAAGACGGCGTTCGTCATCGAGCACGATTTCATCATGGCCACCTATCTCGCCGATCGTGTCATCGTCTTCGAGGGCCAGCCTGCAGTTTCAGCCACCGCCACCCCGTAAGCGCACCGCTGATTCATAATTGATGGACATCTTATCAATTGTCTCAGACCACAAACACTGTTGTCTGGAATGAATCGATTCCTGGCATCGTTGGAGATCACTTTCCGACGTGACCCCACGAATTACCGGCCGCGAGTAAACAAGATGAACAGTGTCAAGGACCGTGAGCAGAAGGGTAAGCTTGATCGTCCAGTCCGTGTCCACCTCATGCTCATCTCTGTCACAGCTTCCGGCAACTACTTCTTCCTGGAGGATTGAAGGACGACATGTAATTCTCGATGAGCTTGTTGTATCGCTAGCTCCGTGTGTAAGACGCCAGGACTACGCTCTTTCTGCGCAATGTAAGTAATTGAACGTTGATTGTCGCGTACAGGAGTGCTACAGACAACATCGGTAGTTTAAGAATAAAAGATCGATCTTGAGGGACATGGAGCCATACCCATAAACCATACTACAGTATTCTAAGACATATACCCGAACTGGATGCCTAGCAAGGTTGGTAGAGAGACATGGCAAATTCGATCGCGTCGATGACCAGAGCGAAATGCGAGAGAACAGTGGGATCGGAGAAGCGGCGGGAATTGCAAAGCATCAACCAATTGTTCCGCTCCCCGACGAGTCGGCGGTAGAGATGGATCGGATCCGCGCCATCTCATACCGGGTCTTGACACCCAGGATGAACATAAAGATGTTCTCGGGGGAGACGTGGAACCCGTAGACGGGCCAAGGGAAAGATATCTCGCTGAGATTAGAGCTGTATGGGCGGCGCAGCATGGCCTTGATGCCGGTCCACTGACGCTGGTGAGAAGCCCACGGGGAAGTCGGACCATCAGGGAGCGCGGCACTGGATCTGGCGACGGTCTGCAGCTGCCGCACCGCCGACCGCGCAGCTATTGACCACTTGCGCGGAAGCGACGAGGGTTTGTGGAAGAAAGGGCTCGGCTTGCTCCGCCTTGAAGATTGGGCTGCAAGGCGAAGGAGCTCATGGCGAGAGGGACCGGATGGAAGGCGCGCTCCTTGAACTGCATCATCTGCAGCCGCCCGAGCTCCGACAGCAGGAAGACATGTCGGGCACGCTCAGCTTGAGCAGATTGGGCCGGTGTCAGCGGGGGTTGGGACGACGGGCGCGGGCGCGGGCGCAGGGGAGGGGGTAGGAGCGGCAGGAGCGGCAGTAGGAGCAAGGCTGAAGTTGGCGCGCCACCTCCTGGGTGGCATGGCTGTCGAGGGATGACGC